TGAGAATATGCTTAAGGTTGGCAGACTGTGAATGGCTATCCAACTACAGATTCAGTTTCTCCTCCCTTGGTGTTCACACCTCAACTGCTAGCAGAGCACCTCACCCTCCCTGATTGAACTAACCTCGTTATCTCCACACTGATATATACCTGTCTCTGGAGATTTCCATTACTTGCATCTGAAGAAGTGAGGTTCTTACCCACGAAAGCTTATGCTCCCAGTACTTCTGTTAGTCTCAAAGGTGCCACAGGACCCTCTGTTGCTTTTTACATTATGAACAGTGACAGCAAACAACCATTTGCACAAATGCAATTAGGCTTTACAGTACTAACATCTCAACTTATTCATCCTTCAGTCACTGGGGAGCAATAAAGGAAGAAATGAATGGAAAAAAATAATTGTTTACTCTACAAAGTACAGCTGGTTGAAAAACAATATTTCCAGTTTGTGAACATTTTCAAAATTTGTTCTACGTCAGCAGTTGGGAGAAAAAGATTCACTCTCTCCATGAAGAGCATTCACTGTGGATGTAGGGGATTCAGGTTTAAGTCCCTGATCTGTCTGATTCAGACCAAGGCTTTAAACCTGGGTTGGCCACGTGCCAGAGGAGTTACCTATTGTGGGCTATTGTGGAATCTGTCTGTCTCTGCCTTATCCTTCCCCTGCCTCAAGTGAGGCTGTTTGTTGGGTGCTGTGTGTACTAGCTGGGTTTCTGTTAGTCTATGTTTGTTTTTTTCTTTTGTTACTTGCGGTTTCTTTCTTTTATGGGTGTTATTGGTTCCCTCCCCTTTTTCCTTGGAGCTGAGGAGGTTTTCTCCATAGAGTCCACTTCAGATGGGTTTAGTGATTTGATCTGCAAGCATGGGGTTTGGTGTGTCCCTGCTGCCTCCTGCACTGTGGAGGACGTGTTGCTGAGTGTAGGTAAGGTTATTGGCTGTGCTCCTGTAAAATCTGCCTCTCGAATGAGCAAATCCATAGTGATTTTCCTGGTCGAGGAGCAGTTTGTGAATTGTTTGGTACAAGAGGGACTCTGGGTCAAGGAGTCTTTTGTTCAAGTATTTCCCTTGTTTACTCCTGCTAATAAAGTAGTTTTTCCGATGTCATCCCCTTCCTTCACAATGAGACGTGAGTGTCTAATTTCCCCATTATGTGAAGGGGGGAATATAGTTTCTGCTGGTGGGATGATTCTGCTAGCCTC